TTTTTGTCGTCGGCATGCTCCTCCAGCTGCCAGATGCGCTCCACCTCCAACAGCAGGTCCACAGCCTCAGGCTCTGCAGGCAGGCAGGGAGGTGGGCGGGCAGGGGGGTGGCACGGACGTTGGCGCAGCGCGGCGCGGAGGGACAGCCGGCCTCTGTCGCAGGCGATGCGGCGCGGCAGCCGAGCTCGGCAGCGGCGCCGCCACGGAGTGCGCGCCAGGCAGGCGGTGGCAGGCGCTGTGCGCAGGGCCGCCCCGCCTGCCCCGCCTCTCTCCACGCCTCCCATGCCCCTCCCTTGCAAGCCCACTTGCGCCCCTGCCCACCTGCGTTGTGCGTCATGTGGTAGGGCACAATCTCATCCACCAGCTGCATCAGGTCGTCGGCAGGCGCGTCCTCGGCCCGCCGCTCCTCATACGCCTCCCCAATCTCGCCTGGCAGGGTGTGGGCAGGGTGGTGGTGGTGGTGAAAGGGCAAAGGGTTGGACAAGGGGCGAGAGAGGGGCGAGGGAAGGGGGCGCGGGCGCAGCAGCCGCAACAGAACAGCAGGCGAGCAGCGCCCCCAAGCTTGCTTCCCAACAACGTCGCCGCAGCCGACTCGCTCCCCACACAACGCGGGCACGGCAGCCCCGGCGGCGGCTGGCGCTCACCCGCCAGGTGGCGGATGTACTCGTGCCCCCACTTGCTCACATCCCCCACTACACCCTCCAGCTTGTACTTGAGAGTCTCGCGGCTGCCCTCCTCGGCGCTGGTCATGGCCAGCACCGATACCTGCGGCGGCGGGCAGCGCGGGGAGGGGTGACGGGCACGGCGCCGGCAGCAGCGGGGCTGCCGCCGCAGCTCGCGGCACACTGGGCACGCTGCTGCTGCTGCTCCCACTCCGTCCACCCTGGATCCTCCGCCGATCTCGTGCTGCATCCCAGCCGCAGAAATCCCCTGGCTGCAGCCGCTGCCTGCGCCGCCACCTGCCAGCTGCTGCGCCAGCCACAGTCGCAGGCGCCGGGAGAGGTCGCTCACCACATCCGCGAGCTCCTGCCGGTTGGGCGCCCCCTTGGGCGTGGCATCCACCTGCGCCTTGAGCTTGTCGTAGTGCGGGCGCAGGAACTTGAGGGGCTTGGGCACGGAGGTCATGCTGGAGGTGGCGGTCCTGCGGGCACCAACAGGGCGCAGGCAGGCAGGCGGCAGCCGCAGGTGGTGAGGCAGCAGGTGTGAGGCAACAGCAGCAGCAGATGGGGCAGCCAGGTCAGGCATCGCCACGCTCATCCAACCATGGAAGTCATTCACCGGACCAGCATGCCACGCAGGAAAATGGCTGGCGCAGCTGGGCCCCGCCGCAAGGCAAGCGTCGGTTCAGCCGCCCACCCGCCGTCTGCCCACACACAGTCGGCAGCCCGCCGCTTTCGCCCGCCCCACCGGCACAGTCCCCAGCACCCTGTCCGGCTCCATTCAGCTGCTGCAGGTGCCGCCCCACCTGATCTCTGTGCCCAGCGACTCGATGGCAAGCTTCTGCACGCCCGCGTCGGCGTCGGCGACCCGCGTCACCATCAGCTGAAGGTCCTCCTTGAGCTTCTTGTCATCCTCGCTGAGCTCCTCCTCCTCCAGCTGCACCGACATGTTGGAACAGGCGCGGGCGGGCCGGCAGGCGGCCATCAGAGGCCCGCTTGATCGGCCAGCCGACCGATCGGCTGTCGAGTCAGTGGCGGGGGCCTCTCCCATGCCATGATCGCCCGTGGCCGCCCCAGCCCACCTCTGGCAGCCCCTCCTTGTTGCCCTTCTTCTCCGGCTTGGCCTCCTTCTTCTCCTCCTCTGGCTTTGCCATCGTTCCCGCCCCTGTGATTCACCAGCCAACCAGGGCACGCTTCAGCTGCAATGCCAGCCGCCTCTGTGGCCTGGGCCTCGGCTCCTGCAAGTACATGTACCTCGGGCAGCCCGCCTGCAGCCGGATCGCCGGCCCTGCATTGCCGCAGCGCTTGACCGTGTGTCGGTGGCATCGAGCGCAGCGTCTGCAGCCGGCAGAGCCGCTCCTCAACCACCGGAGGTGTGATCCGAGAGTTGCAGCGCACGCAGGCTGCCCACTTATCGCTGCCAGCGGTGCTGGACCTCTGATCACCGCCTCCCGCTCAGCCGCTGACCGGCCCCTGGCAAGCCCCTCTCCCGCAGGGTGCTGCCTCTCAGCAACAGCAGGCCCTGGCTTCGTAGCTCCTCAGCAGCAGCCCCGCGCGCCCGGAGCCATGGCGGAGAGCCGGGGAGAGCTGGAGGTGTACAACGTGTGGTTTGTGGCGGCGGACCTCGACCGCGACGGCGTGCTCAGCGGCCACGAGGCGGTGCAGTTCTTCCAGCGCTCGGGCCTGCCCCAGAACCCCACCCTCTTCAAGGTGCGAGGGCTGGGGCCCGGGGGGGCGTGGCTGGGCCCTTCCCCAGCACCTGCCGCCCTTCCATCCGCCGCTGCCTCCCCGCCTCATGCCCTACGCCCCTCCTTCCTCCTCCCGTGTGCAGGTCTGGCAGTATGTGGCGGGCGACCGCCCCGCGCTGTCCCGCCAGGAGTTTTACACTGCCATGAAGCTTGTGTCGCTGGCGCAGCTCAACGGCGGCGTGCTGGATGACCAGCAGGCGCTGCGCCTGGTCAACGGCTTGGCGGGGCCCGTGCCGCTGCCGCGCATGGCGGGCATGACGGTGCCGCGCGGCATCGAGCTGCCCGCCAACCTGCTGCCGCCGGAGCCGGCGGCGGCGTCAGCGCCGGGCCAGGCGGCGGCCTCGCCGGCGGCGCCGCCCGCGCGCGGCGGCGCGCCGCTGGCCTCGCCGCCGCCCCCGGCCGCCGCCTTCCCGCCGCTGGCGGCCGAGCAGGCGGCTGCCTTCCAGACCGCCTTCAGCCAGCTGGACACAGACAGAGACGGCTTTGTGCAGGTGTGTTTGAGGCTGGGCTGCCTGCCCGCCTGCTGCCTGGCTCTGTCCTGGCTTGGTCGGCGGCGGCGCAGCCAGCGGCCTGCAAGGCGGCGCCGCCTTGCCCCGCCCACGACCCTTGGCGCGCCACTCGCTGGGCGGCCTGCTGCTGCCGCCCTGCTGACGCGCGCCGCCGCCGCTTGGTGCAGGGCACGGACTGCTTCGGCGCCTTCATGCAGAGCGGTCTCCCCAAGGCGGCGCTGAAGCAGATTTGGGACCTGGTGGCTGGCAACGAGCCGCGCCTCAAGTGAGCAGCGCCCGCCCCGCCTGCCCCGCCTGCCCCGGCTGGCAGGCTGGCGCGGCTGGCAGCGCCCCGGCGTGCGGTTGCGCCCGTGGGGCAGCCGTGCAGCTGCTTGGCAGGCCGGCTGGCTGCGTGCCGGCACGGGGCTGGCCTGGCTGGATGAGGGAGCGCGGCGCGTGCCCGGCGGCGCGTGCGGAGTGTGGCGCCGGTGGTGCTTGGCTGCTGCAAGGCACCACCCCCGCTGCCCTGCCCTGACCTGCCCTGACCTCACCCCCTCCCCTCTGCCC